TCCCCCCGTCCGGACTCTACGACTCCACCCTTGTTGTGTTGGTCTCTGTAAATTGCTCTCGTGCGAGCTTTTATTTTGTGTGCTCCAGCTCCGTCGGCTGAGAGAAGTGGGAAACGAGCTTGTGGTTGCTGAGGTGCTTGCCGGGGTGGCTGGCTTGGTGGAGGTGGTGGTACATAATCCATCAAAGTCGCTGCCGAGGAGGATGACAGACAGCGACATCACGCCAGATTGAGCAAACATCTTGCCTTCTTCGAACTTAACAACCTACTTTTTTCATAGTATGTATATGTACTCGATCTTCTCTCTCTTTGGCCTCCGATTGCTGCCTTCGATGAAGCTCCGGATCCGAGGGTCCACGATGCTTTCTCGGATATTGGACTGAATATATCTGATAATTGAGATACCTGGTCCGAAAATTATCATATGCTCATCATCCAGGATCCCTGTCAAGTCAAATTCGACGCACCACATCGAATTTTCGGCTTTTCGTATCGAATTTTCCGCTCATTCGATGCTTCTACTGGTCGCTCCTCTAAACGGAGTTCCGATCCATCCGTTTAGTCAAGTGAATTTTATTTCGATTTCAAGCCGGCCGGTGGGCGTTTCTGGGCCATTTCGAGAATTTGTGGTTGGGGTCATTCGTCTCGAACTCGTTCCGAGTATCAAGACAGAAGCTAAGCTTCACTGAGTGAGTTAGTCATTCAAACAGTCAGTCAGTCAGAAAAACGGGCGGTCAAGCCGCGACCAATGAGTTGGTAGACCATTAACGAGAAGCAGTTATAATTACAGGAATAAAGTTGAACATCAACGGAATGGCGATTTTGATCCAACAGGTGTTAAAGACGACTCGTCAGCTTTCTGACTGAGGTGGGTGAGTGATCGGTAGGTCGGTCGATCGGTCGGATGGTCGGCATCGTCGTCCAGTGCTTGACGCACGTCAAACGCTCAAACTTCCTACGTCTGAGCTCCTAAGCGATCTCACGGAAGTGCATGGAGTAGCAGAGAACGCACGTCACTATTCGATGAAACCTCTCCTTTCAGCCACTTGACCCATCTGGGCGGAGAAATTTTTCGCGGGAAACAGACCGCTCATAGCCTCTCCGCGTCCGTTTTCAATCAAGCAACTGAAGTTCTAAACGGAACAACCCTTTGCTGAAAAACGCTTGTAAGTAGCAGCAATTTTCAAATGCCTCCTAGTGGTGATCTTGTGTCTAAACGTTTTGGGCGAGCGAGCGGACGAACGTCATGAAGCGAATTCATAATAGCTGCTTGGAATCGTTTTCTTTTTTCAATTTAATGCTCACTTGTTCGAATGCTCGAGCTCCTCACTGAGGTTCCGAGACGCGAGCGATTGCGGTCGTATCCTACTAACAATCAATTAGCAACACAACTTCCCCAGAACGATCCGCTGTGCGTTCGCGGGATGCGATTCCCGGCAGGACCGAGAACGAGAGGGTCAATCGGAGGTCATCGGATTCGATTCCGTTAATTCCGCCCCGGCTCCCCTTACGACAGGTTCACCGTGCCCGATTGCCGTGTCCCCTACCCGCTTAGCCCCAGAACCAGGACGTGGAATCGTGGTCACGTTCTCTCCAACATGAACCCGTTCCTCTGGAAGTTCGCAGCTTTCAGCACGAGTTTCAATCCGCGCGAGGGAAACATTCTGAAGCCACAGAGATGGCCCAATTTGCTCAGCGGAAATTATCTGGGGAAGGATCTGAACGGAGTCAGTTGGCGCCGGTTGTTGCTGCTGCCGCGATTGAGGTGATCGCGGACCACAACAACGGTTGCTCGAGATTTTATCATGAATGTAGATTTCTCATACATCTTGTGCTAACTTCCCGAGCTTCACTCTCTCATTTACGATGTTCCTTCGGTCGAGAATACAGCTCAATTGCTGTCGGCTTTGTGCTGGCGTTGTAAAATGCTTGTCGTCTCACTCCCGAAATTGTTCTGCTTGACACAAAACACGACAAGGACGACAACAACAACGACGGCGGCGACCACCGCGAAGACACCCAGACGAAAACAGAGATCGCCCACCGATAGCCTTAGAACATTGATTAATATGCGGCAGGATCGTTCCGTGGCGAGCGATGCCGCTCGTCATACGAATTTATGGGCAGTGCATAATATTCCCCCTCCAGCTCCGGAGCTTACGTACAGCATACCCAAACACTCGGATTTACGGTTGATCTATCATTAGGTTATCAAAAGCGATCGGGTCGGTGTGAATTCAGAGAATCGCTCTACCTCGGAGGTCTCAGACTGCGCCAACTCCCTGTACACAAAGTCATCTGATCGTGCCTAGATATCCTGAACGTAACGCAGATGCTCGCGAATCTCACCCCCCCCGTACCCCCGAACGGCTCCCGATTCACTTCACACGACAGTAGTCGGCACATATGCATCATGCCAATGCTGCAGGAATTATTCTGGGGCCATTCATCGATCGTTGCGAGTTGCGGCCATCTCAGACGCTCGACGAGTTTGTTTTTGTGCTTCGGTGGCGATGGAGAAAATTGGGCTGGCGAGACAAAGAAAACAAACAGCAATCTGACCGACCAACAAAGAATGACGCCTCTGTCTCCCTCGACTCGGATCCAAAACTGATTCAGAATCAGTTGCCGGTGCAGCCGACGATCCGACGAAAGTTTGACGCTTTGGTCCAATGCTTTCGCGGTGCATTGACGTCTTATGGTAAATTTTCAGAGCGGAATCACAGCGTCCGGATCTCTTTCTCTGCCTTAATTGTGATTCGGAATCCCAAATTTGACTGTTTTGATGATTTGCAACTCTCACGGGATCCCGACGTCGTCAGTTTGCCGTCGACCGACGTTCCGATCGGATGATCGGCAGTCCTTTCGAGTTCGATCGTCGATTGGGATCGTCTTCGCCGGCGGACTTTCCTCCGATAGTCGGATGGTTCTCACGATGGATAAAACGCGAAAGTCCCCGATTTCTGCCTGGAAACCTCCTTTCGGAGAACGTGGAGACTTTGGGAGAGAAACTGAACTTCTGCATTTCAGTACTGTTTCGTTTACCGTCTGTCCATCCGTCGGCCGACCTGCCTGCCAGCCAGTCAGCCTGGCTGACTCACTGACTGACTGACTCGTGAGTTGAATAGCGACATGCGAACGCAGTTTTTAACGGTGGTCGCTATTCCGCCCACGCAAGCACAACTTTGAGGTTCACGATCACTCTGGTCGTTGTTGGCGCTGCCGTTGCTGCCGCAGTTGCCGACGGTGTTTCAGTGGTCTCACGCAAAGTCTTCTTTGAAACGAAAAATAAGCATAATGTCTTCTGTCGGCGCTTGCCTATCAACAACGACACCAAGGCGACCTCGACAGCCAACCAACCAAGCAAGCGACTGACCGACCCACCAGGCAAGCCGCTGACCGAGCGACCAGCGACTCACTTGGACTTTCAGTAGACCAACGCCACGGATCGAGCCCCTGGACGGTATCCCGAACAATAATAATGCTCACAATGCTCCTTGAAAGAAACGACGATCGGATAAGATGTCCCGAGCAACTTTGAACGAGTTGCATTCAATCCCGGTCCGTATACGAACGTAAGTCATCGCGCGAGTAAGCGCGCGCCCCCATGACGGGTACACGCAGGCACGAGCAAATCATCAGAAAGACAACACGTTTCAGACACAAAACGTCGACGCAAACGTGATCTTCAAGGCTCTGCAGCAGTGTTGGCTCCTTGCGCAATGTGGCAGTCCCTTGGGTACGGCTGTCGGAACGATCTTGGGGTTTTTTGGAAAAGAGACAGAGACCCGGAGTAGAATCAAAAATCACAGGACGCCTCTGAATCCAGCTCAGAGTCCAGCAGCAGCATCATCAGCGAAGTTCCAGGTTCACCCGTCGCGGACTTCGGCCTCCTCTCTCTGGAAACTCGCAGGGCGGATTAAGCGGCCCGTCGAAATGAAGCCGACGAGCTCATGGATGAGCCTCGGGGCAGGTAGCGCGATTCGTTCTGATGGATATTCTTCTAAAGCATCTGACGAGGAGGAATCTATGGATTGACTCCGGGGATCCGTAAGTACATTGTGCGAAGTCAGCGGGCGAGTCGGGATCATCACATTCGTGAGCTGCTGCTGCTGCTGAGTGTCATCACCACGCTTGTACGGTCGCATGAAAATCGCTATCAATACAAGGTCGCGAAAAGAAGAGAAGCAATCCCGTAACACGTCACTGGCCGCCTTTCAAGATGTTCACGATCTCCTCCAGCCGCGAGCTTCTGCCGCTGAAATCTGTTGTCTATCGGATGACTCATCCGGTATTAGTGTCTGATTCGTCTGATTTTTCTTCTTCTTTCTCCTGCCCCATTCCCTTCGCTTGTAACTCTCATCTCCCGCATGTATATATATATCGGTCTCTCTGTTCGTCTGTCTTTCCGTCGATATATTTATCAGACTGCCGACTCCTTCTGAAGACCGGTGCGCTATCAGCTTGAAACGGCAGCCGCAGCAGTGGGTACTTTCCTATTTACGGCGAGAGGACGCGAACGTCTCATAGACAACAAGCGCGACGATATCTCTTTTTTTTCAACTGCAGCAGAGACTCGACGATCACCAAGTTGACCAAACAGTCGCTTCCTCACGATGTGGAGAAACGAATCGACCCTGGCGCCCGATTCTCCCGAATTCCTCAAAAGTATTTCCCTCTTCCGCTAGCCGATCGAACTGGATTCATCGGTCTCGGGTCTCGGGATTCCGAGCTCGGGGAGCGAGCTCGCTAGGTCGCTCGCTTGCTTGCTTGCTTGATTGATTGGTTCATCGATCGCTGGTTCGGTCAACCTTTCCTCTGGATGGGTGGAAAACATCTCGGTGCTATATGGTTCGAGGGACAGGAAGCACCAGCATCGGACTATCAATTGACCGAAAGAAATCGAAGATATCACACTTGCATTCCGTCACTAATAGAAATTTAGTTTCATCTATTGTGTATTTTATTCCTTCGATGATGGTGTTCAATAACTTATTAATAAATAGGAAAAGAACAGGATAGTCAACACCATCGAGTTTACAACTATACAACAACTCTATTTACATGCAGCAGCTGAACTTTGTTCATCCGTTTCTCCAGCTGATCCAGCCGACGGAAAAGTCAAGTGTTTTATTCGGCGATCGTGCCAGCGCCAACTCTCTCGGAAGTTGAGGAAGCAGAGGGAGCCGGCTGGCTGCAAAAAGTTCCTTCTCCGAGCGCTCCCCAGTTTCTCCTCCGTCCTGCTGCTGAATCACACTTTGATATTGTTGTTCAAGAGGCATAGCAGTCTAGTATTTGACATAATAATTATTAATACTTTTATCGTCCGCGTCACCCCCCTCCCGCGATCGGTAGGTCTGTACATGCGATCTGTCACGCTCCAACGTGAGCTCTATACTCTATTGAAAGTTTCGTATTGAGACGCGTTAGCCCGGGAACGCTCTCATCAATGCTCAACATCGAGATCTTCATCGTCGTCGGCGGTCATACGACGACTGTCCAGCTCAACATCGTGTTGCGGCGACGCAGGAAACTCGGACTCAGGCGAAAATTCTTGGGGCAGCATACTGAACGCTCGGTCCAACTCGGGGCCCTCGGGAATGCCGAGTGTGTGTGTGAGATTGTGCCGTCTAAGATCGCAATTCCTGCGGAACTCTTTACCGCAATGTTCCTTTTCGCACGTGTACGGCTTGATGTCCGTATGTGTGAGAAGATGCGTCTTCAGATTCGACCGCTGATTGAAACTCCGACCGCACTTCGGACATTTGTGCGGACTGTCGTCCATGTGAAGTATCCGATGCACAGCGAGGGTCCGGCTCTGGCAGAAACCCTTGCCGCACTCTGTGCATTTGAATGGCTTCTCCTTCGAGTGAATGTATCTGTTGGAGGCGGAGAGGAAAACGGGCTCTTAGTGATCGTGGACGATCGGATCTCCGCGCGTTGTCGATTCTCGTTCCGTTGGAGGGAAACGACACGTCGACCGCGAGAGAAAAATACGCGAGGGAATAAAGTACTCACCGATGATCCCGAAGGTGGTCTTGTCGCCGGAATGCTTTGTGACAAATGTCGCAGGTATACGGCCGCTCGTCCGTGTGGGTCCTCTCGTGGATGAGCAGATTGTAGCTTTTCGTGAATCGTCTTTGGCAATATTTACAGATGAATTCTTTTTCGGTTTCGATGACGTTCGAGGACCGCGAGGTTTCCGGTCGAATACGCCACCTATTCCGGTTCCAGGTGTGGCTGCGAACGGCGCGTTAGGAGGAGGAGGTGGCCGGAGCATTGGCGGTCGGGCCGTCGGCGGCAAATGATGGTAGAAAGATGATGGGAAAACTGGGAGTCTCGGGGGTTGAGGGTACAGGGGCGACGCGTGAGGATTTGTTCTCGCCGGGATGGGGAGGGGGCGTTTCACCGAACTCGACCGTTCTTTGCTCTGTAGGGAGCTCTCTTCGCGGGTGGTTGCCGACTCCGCCAATCGAGCGAAGTCGAATTTCCGTTTCGAATGAGTCGACGACGACGCGGGCGAAGATGTCGTCGCCGACGAGGACCGCGAAATGTTGTCGGATGAAGACACTTTCGACGACGTGTGAGTCGGCGGTGCCGATGCCGACGGGGCGGGTTGAGGTTTCTGTTTCAACGACAAAGTCGCCATCGAAGCCGGTGACGGCAGGAGCAACGACGGAAGCTGTGGGTATTGGTGGTTGAATGCGTTCGCCAGAGGGAACGGCAGCATGTTGCCCGCGTTTTGACCGGCAGAAGTCGCCATTCGAGCTAATGAAGAGACCATCGCTTGCTGTAGCAGGGCAACGGTAGCCGAAGTAGGTGGGAAAGGCGACACGCCCGTCGGCGGTGAAGGTGATGAAGGCAGAGACCTTTTTACGGTGGTCAGATCCGTAGGTTGTTGTAAGGAGGGGGCCGTTGATGACGAGATATCTGCAAGTGACAAAGCGATCATTGAGTATTTTTTTTTGTTGTTTGTTTGTCCTCTTCACGTTAATCGTTTTCCCTCGGTCTCCACTCGTGCTAGATGTCACACCGATGATTTGGCAACGTCAGCAAACGCCAACGTACCCCCGGTGAACGCCCATCGCATCGTCTAGGCGTCGTCGGTCGTCAGGTGCTGTTGTTAGCGGTGCCATTCGCACGCCGCGATAACGAGGATTCCCGCTGTAGCTCAGCCACCCTTTTTTAAATTCAAATTCGAGGACGAGAGGGGGAAAATTCGAGAAACAACCACCCAGATTCTGCCGGTGTCCTAGACGGAACGTTTCTCCGACACATAACATGTCAAAGAAGAACGACCACCCGAAGGTGTGTAAGCCGCAAAACCTTTTGATCCTTGTTCTGATGTGACATTCATTCACGGATGCCAGAAAAAAGAGCATAACACAAACCATGCCTCTTTAATTCATTGTTTCTCATCCGGTCCTGTATGGCCGTCGTCGTCGTCGCTGCCGCGTCACATGGACGAAATCTGCCGAATCAGCGGAGAAAAACTTGAAACAGAATCATCAATGAAGGCCGCAGAAAACACCGACGACGAGAACGAGATACAATTTATGATCCCGATCGGAATAAAGATAGCTTCGGCGACTTTGTTGACTTTATCGAGGATTCACACAACGATTGAAGATTGAGTCTGCCGCGCATCGGGATATCGGTGGAAGTCGCGGAAAAGCGGTGATCGGGACGAACCTTCCCGAAACTCGCTCCCAGATCGAGAAATCCGATGATTGATTCCCAAAGCATCGACTGCCGATTCGTTGATGATTATTTCGAGTCCCGCGATCCGACGCGATCCATTCTTCGGAAGTGAGCGTCTCGCGTCGGGAGAAACATCTCAACAGAGAGAATCGCGCTCTCGGACTAACCTGCGATAGCCATTCGTTGTGGGAGGATTTCAAGAAGATGACACGAATAATAACTGTGTACACTCACTTTTCACACACTCAATGTCGCCCACGTTGTCGCTCACCTAATCCTAATTCACTCAAGTGCAATGCAATAGTGACACTCGATTGACAAGGGAGAGACTTTGAGCGAGAGACTGTTTCAGTGAGAAGGACCGACGCTCTCGAATCGCTTGAAATGACATCAGGACAGGTCATTCCCATCGTACGAGACCATGCAAGCTTCGAATCAATCAGAAGCACGACCAGCTCATCGCGTCGATGAGATACCACTCGTCAAGACAGGAATTGTCATGACGACGAATAAGCTCGTCGACTGACCAATAATCCGCATGTAACGGACCCTTGAAACATCTTTCTCGATAGTCTGATCGATGAGAAAACTTCGAGTGGACGGGATTTTTCGTGGATCGGATGGTTCGATTCCTGGCAATCCTGTTCGAAGATGACAGCGAAACAGCGCTTCGACGGTGTTTCGTTGTGCTTTCGTTTTCACGTCACGGTGTCATCGAGTCGTTCAAGAAGCAATTTGTAACAAGACACGCCGTTTGTTTTTTCCGAGGATGATGGGACTGGAAGCTGACATCAACCACCAAAGTAACGATAAGTCGGCCGTAATCCACGAGCCGTGAAGATACACCCGATGGCTCGCTCGTTCGCCCGCGTGCTCGCATGCTCACTTACTCACACTCACTGACTTCCTTTTCGCATTAAAGGTAGCCGGATAGGAAGCAAGTCCGCCGCTTCTTGGAGATGCTTTTTTTTGTTGTCGATACGGTAGAGAAGATTCCTTGTCACCAACTCTTCTCGACAGACGACTGCTTATATAATGTCGTTTGAGACAATCTCTCTCCTGTTGAGCATCGGTCGAATATTCTCTCAAGTGAGACCTGCCGGTGGGCGCTCGCTCGAAATTAATCCGATTTCCGATGCTACTGTGAGGATGTCGATTCTCCGTAAGGGGAACCATACCGTGCTCGAGTGGTAGGAAGCGGCGAAAAGCCGATTTGCAGGGATAAGTCGTTGAGTGAGCTCAGCGAGATCGATTCGGATTCTTTGAAAAAATACGCGACCCGTCTCCCAGTTGATGGCGGGCACGTGGTGTCTTTAATATTGGGTTTGGGGCTCTCGGAAGAAGTTTGACTGCAATTAGAACAGCCAGGCTTCGTCATCGACGTCATCGCTGTCGCGGCCGTCGTCATCGCCGTCCCATAGTCCACGAAATGGAGGCCGGTCCGGCTAAAGGTGGGCACCTGTCTCCAGGTGAATCCAGCACAAGCAGACATCAATTGGTCGTCTATTATGGCAGCATTCGATCGACTCGAGACGATGGGCGCCTATGGCTCACAATCAGCGTTCTGCTGCTGCTGCTGCCGCTACCTTGAGGGAATCGCTCTTTATGGATGAATTCGGGTGTGGTGCGCTACGGTGACTGTGTGCTATGGTGTGGTGCTCGAATGTGGTCTACGGACGTTGACCGACCGTCATCGTCGTGCAGGTGACACTAAAATAGTCCACTTCAGCATCTGCTACTATACGTCCGTTTGTCCGTCGGCACCGGCGGCAGCAGCCTGCGAGTTAGTCGACGCTCGAAGTGTCTACGCTAGGAGTGGCTCAAAGCTCGACTCGGCGTTTACGCTCATTTGGCCATTATCGGTTCGTAGCGACCGATGGCCGTGAGTTCGTGAAACCGCATTTTTTCTTCTTGTATTTTCTATCCCGTTCATGAGGGCTTGATTCCACTTGTGCCCGCCGCCGCCACCGTCCGGTCAGCTGCTCCGTACGGCAGCAGCAGCACTCAATGCTTGAGTGAGTGCCAGTGATTTGTTGCTTCTGCCCTCAGGGACGTGCCGCCGGAACAATATGTTTCTGAGCGAATCAGTTGCACGGAAAGCCACGTGCGTGGCATCTGGAAGCCTCAATCATTACGAGCGGCGGCGCTGATGAGCAAACAAAAATTCCGCACGCTTCACGGTCGAAGCCCAGCAAGCAAGCATACTTCCGTCCGGAGCTCGATAAACTTTCGATGAAAGACGATCAATAAGAAGAAAACTAGACGGGCGTGATCGAGGACTCGCTCTGTGGCTCCGGTCGACCACAGCTCTCGTTGTACGATCCGTACCTGCGTCGAAAGACTCTCGTGATTCCGGATTCGTCAGAGAAAATGGCGGATCTGTCGAGGGTGCGTTCGGCACTCGTGAATTCCTTCGGAATCACATCGTGAGGTCAGTGAGTCGAACACCAACAATGGAGAGCAGTCGAAAGACAGCAAGTCAGATCGTTCGGTTGCCGCCCCATAATCGGATCCGGATTCTTCTCGTATGTGTGTGTGTAGATTGGTCGAACGTTTCGTAGGTGGGTGGGTAAAAAGACGTGCAGCCGATACATAGCTCACCGAGTGAGACTCATTTACTTCTTCAGCCGCACAAAACCTCCGGCAACAGCGACGGCCTTCGTCTCGGTATCGCTGACGGAATGTCGCAGTGCTACGTCCCACACCGAGAATCTACGAGTTTTGGCAGAGCTCGATCGTGTCATCGACGGGGACACACTGAATCTTCGATCCTACCTCGTCTCAATAGAAATCCCATCCTGACGAAACTCCGCAGCCTTTCTTCCTCTGGTTCCTCAGACAATTGCGATCAGCCGGAGAATCGGTGGAAGTCTCTCTTTCGGTCACCCTATGATGTTGTGAAGACCTTGAAACGAGTATTCCGTAATTCTAGGAAGCCATAATCGCATTTCGATGATCGCTGTTTCGGGGAACAAAACTAATAACTCTGTTGAGCTGCAGCTACTGTTCAGGGTACAGGCAGAGATGCTCGACGAATGAGAGGGGCTACTCCGATGAGCATTGACAATTTATGAACCGATTCTCCCGATTTTGCTGTGGAGGTGTACAGAACACGTTCGTTTGAGAAGTCTGCGCTTCGGGGGTCCGGCATTCAGACCGGTCCATCATTTCCCTCGGAAACACGAAGAACTCACAGGCAAGCGCCTGGACCCTCGTGAGCCGACGAGAGCTCCTGTTCATGGAAGAGTTCATGGGATCAGAACCCGATGATTTTCGATGAGCATCACAGGTCTGTCCGTGGACACATATCCCCTCAAGAGGGCTCGTAACCTAATAAGGTAGAGAGAAAATTCCCCATGACCACGAAGTGGATTGTGTCAAGGTCGGAATGGCTCAATATCAAGATGTGATCGGCCGTCTGAATTTTCGGAGCTCAGGCTGCGCCGCGTTTTTCGGAACAACGACAGACACGATCAGGCTATTTGCGATTTCTTCGACGACTTTCGAGCTCGTCGCTCCGCAACGTACTGTCCCCAGAATAATCCGCGATAGCTCGCTCGCTGGACTTGCTTTCAGAGAACGTATGCATGCCTCCATGCATTCATCAACGTTCACAAACCAGCAATTTGCTCATTTGGGGACTTCTGCTGCTGCCTGAAGGCCTGCTTGGTGACACGCCTCCGACCGATGTCTCGAGTAACATAAGCGGTCGGCCATATAGTACCCGCATACCTTTACATTCTTCTTCTTCTTTTTCGAGAATCACTCCTCATACAGAGTTCTCAAACAGGTGCCTGGAGCTACTGCTGTCGGCGTGAATTTTTTTTTCGTAGCAGAAAACCGCGGCGCGTCCCTCTGTTCGATTCCGAACGAAGACAATCACTACCCCATTTTGCAGGAAATGCCCCGGGGAATATCATATCCGAAACGTGAAACTGCAAGAGGCTCCCGCCAAGTAGTGCAAGCCGAAGATACGAGCTCCAGCCAGCAAAACTGAAAACTATTCCGTTTCCCCCGAATGATTGCTCAGCGGCCCGCCCTAATGTTGGGTCTAGTCCCGCTATGTCACAAGCTACAATTAACATACATAACTAAGCGCCATATGAGGTTCTTCTTTCAGATTGGGACGGCAGGTGCCTTCGGAGCCTCGGTTGAGGCTCGGAGTCTCCATCGGGTGGTTGATAGAGTCTCCCGTTCTCTCACTCGGACGATGTCATGTGTTGTCACAA